AGAATAGATATCTGGAGTGTATACTCAGTTCCGGGAGTCTGACTGGGCCGTGCAGATATCCTCATAGGCGATCTAGACTGTCTTCTATCTGATGGTGGCCAAGTTTTATTGATCTTTCTATTCCCAAAGCCTTTGTTCAATAAATGAATGTTCATGGAATGAGGGAATGGGTCAATTTCTTACAACAGCTTCCAGGGGTTTCTTTGTCTTCTTTCCTTTGCTTTTAAAATACCATATGAACTGGACAGATTTTCTGAGGAGCCCATTGCCCAAGTGGTGCTTCACATGGTTGGTGCAGGAGCCAGGGGTCCCTGAGTTCTTGCCCAGACACCCCAGGTTCCTCTCCTTTCTCTGCTTTGAGCCCAGGCCAGGTTAAGGGGATCCAGCTGTCTTGAGGTTGTTAGTGGCGTGCCATGAAGGAAGCCTGGTCAGGGCAACCCTTCATCCCAGAAAGTCAGGAGACAGGGTGTTCCATGCAGTTCAAAGAACAAACCCACTTTACCACTTTTTACCTTCACTAATTAGCCTAAGTCTCAGTTTTCCCCTCTGTAAAATGGCACAGTAATTCCTTTGGGAAGGGGTTGAGCCAGTGCCTTGGGAATGTTACTCTAACTACTGGGTTTCTGCCTCATAGTGCCAGGGACGCAGCCAGCACTTTGTGGTGTAATTTATTAGTATGCCTGCCTCTCTCACCATAATCAACTGTCCTCTGACTTTGAAACCCCAATGTTTGACACATAGTAATAGTTAATGTTTGTTGAGTGAATAAACAAATATGAAAAAAAAGAAAGGAATATATTGTATACCACCTTCAGCAGGCTTAGAATGTATTTTGTTGTGACTTCTTGAAGTGATTTTCAAATCTTATTCATGAGTTGAATAACTGGTATCAAAATTCTGAGTATTTAGAAGTCACTTTTAAAAGGGTAGAAATTAAACATATGGATTTTATTCCTTGGCCTAGAAGAAGAGGCATCTTGAGAAGACCCTGTGGGTACTTAGCAGAGGGTGGATGGTGGGTGTCTCCAATGTCCAGCAAGGCAGGAGTGGTGCTTACAGGAGAAGCTGTGTCTGCTCAGGGAAGGTCGGGAGGAAGTGAAGAGAGGTGCTGGGGCTTGAGCCCGGTCTGAGCAGGCTCTTGGGTGTCAGTTTGGCCCTGCTTGGGAACCAGGAGAAGAACTGCTTGGAGGGACGGCATGTGGCAGCGCTCGTGGCCACAGCTGGTCTGGAAGCTGCCGCTAGTCTTGCTCATTGGCCACGCGCTACCCTCCCAGTGGTTCTGGGGACTGTGAAGGCTAATTCCCCTTCTAACTGTGAGAGGTGGGGGAGACACCCCCTTACTGGATCTGGGATTCACTTGCAGGATTGCTTTTTATTCTTCTTAAAAGTGTCCTCTCAAAATCTGTGCAGAGAGCTTGCTGGGGAAAGCAGGAACCTGGGGGAAAATGCGTATTCAGAAGTGAGGGTAAGCCACCGTGGGATTCACCACATCACCTTAGGTTAATAAATAAAAATAAAATTTTTACAGACGTGAAATCAGAGGCAACAGGAGTGCGTGGGACACTATGATCACGCAGAAAGAGATGAAGCTGTCTGCAGATGTTCCAACAAAGCACTTCCTGCTTTGACATCTCTGCAAAATGCAAGGTTATCTGCAAAGATGGTCCGAGGGGAACCGGTGTTTCCATTATTAACGTCTCAAATACCAATGGCACAGATGAACTCAGGAGCTCTTAATTGCTAAACTACCCCACATAAGAAGGTGGCAATTAAAAAAAAAATCCAGCATGATAGAACTTAAAGGAATGTTAATGAAAAATCTAGTCCACCCCCCCCCCCCCCCCCAGCTCTTAATTGCTAAACTACCCCACATAAGAAGGTGGCAATTAAAAAAAAAATCCAGCATGATAGAACTTAAAGGAATGTTAATGAAAAATCTAGTCCCCCCCCCCCCCCCATTTTCAGATGCGGAAGCGGAGGCCAGTTACAGAGCCACTAGTTGCAGAACTGAGATTAGAATCCCTAGTTTGGGTCTTTTCCTGCTATGCTATTGCTGCTTCTGAATAAGTGTGATAGTAAAATATCTATTTTATGTTTTCTAGATATATATCTAGGCAGTCCCATACACCTGTAGCTTTCTATGTTTTGCTTACAAGTTGCACTTAATAAATTTTGCAGAAACGAGATCAGCAGCATTTATAGGAAGAGTCCTTCCTGAAAAGGTTAAACCTGACATAGACTTGTGTCACTGGGGGAGTTCATCCGGAACGTTTAGCTGAGAATAGCAAAGTCTCCTGAGAAGGCAAGTCCTGGTGACTAAGACTGAAGCACCCGCAGGCGGTGCGGAGACAAACGCCCTCTGGGCGGCGGGGCACTGTGCTGGCCTGCTGCGGGGACGGCGGCAAGCGGGCTGAGCGGCGTGCGCTGCACTGAACGCAAAGCCTGAGTTGCTGGCTCGGGGGCGGGCAAGTCTGCCCCAGTGCGTGCGGGGTGGAGGCAAAGCTGCGCTGCAGGGTGGCGGCTGGTCTGTCCCAGCAGCGACGTCTGTGATGGGCGGTCTGGTGTCGCCCCCGCGTGTGAGACTCCTCAGGCATTCAGCCGGCACTGATTGCACCGGATGCAGACACAGAGCCCGCGAAGCCTGACCCAGTAAGGACAGCAGGAAGGCCAGCCTCGGGCGACAAGAAAGAGCCAAGCAAGGCGCTCTGGACCGTCAAGGAAAAAGAGAACCGGGGCCGTGGGCGAACGGCAGTGCTGGGCTTTCCAGGAGGCAGATGCGGCTCTTAGTTGGGGCATACGCAAAACAGGGGCACAAAATTGGAAACATTCACCAAGTGCTGATTTTGCAATAAAAATATAGAAAAAGTCTACTCAGATTTCTGGCGCTGAAGTCGCTGTTCATTCCCGTAGCCCACAGCTTGCTGGGCGCTTGGGGCTGCGGACCAGGCTCCCTGGGGGGCTCCCGAAAGAGAAGATGGAGAAAGCCAGCGGCTTGAGGCTTTCCGCGAACTTAGGAGAGAACGTTTACAGGAAGTTCTCTCCTGTGCCGAGTTAAACCGTGAGGATGTCCTCGTTTCTGCCAGAACTCGCTTTCCTGGCCTTTTCCTGCCCGCCTTCCTGTCCTACAACCTTCTCTCCCCCTGGTGGCTCAGAAGGAAGGGTTTGGCCCTGAGATTTGCCTCCTGACACCCTTTCTGTGGCTTATTCTCTGCCTAATTCAATCCTGGTGCGTCTTTTCTAATTTCTTCATCTCCCACAGCTTTAATTCACCTTCGTAAAGATTGTTCCCAAATATACATCTCTAGTCTGATCTTCACTCTTGATCCAAACCCAGTCCCTGGGTCTAATGGTCTGCTGGTCAGATACACTGTGTTTCCTGGCCACTTTAAATCATGTGTTTCCAAGTGAAAACACATGTCCTCATCAAACGAGTCTGCTGACTTCTCTATTTCCATTACAGTGATGAGGTTCAGGACACACTACCCCAAAATATGGCTGTAGGAGACCAGAGTATGCCACCCCAAAATATGCCTCTTTGCCATAAGGATTATTTTGAGCCGTTTGTTTTTAGAAACTGCACACACAGAAGCCCTGAGCAGTTACCTTTTTGTAAGAGAAAGTTACATCTGTAAAGGAAATCTCCATCTGTGAGGGATCTCCCTCTCTGCACCAGGAAGAGGACAATTAAATTACTAGAGACTCTTAATTAATGGAGAAAGCATTAATCTGAGATAACAAAGCTTACTCTTGTTTTAGAGTTAACCAGACCTTTACACACACCTTTATTTCTTTGTTTCAGAGAAACAAAGGTAGTACAATAAGTCCCCCCTTATCTGTGGGGGTATGTTCCAAGACCCCAAGTGGATGCCTGGAACCTCAGATAGAACAAGCCCTACTTACACTGTTTTTTCTTATACATACGTATCAATGATAAAGTTTAATTTATAAATTAAACATAGTAAGAGATTAACAATAACAACCAATAATAAAATAGAACAGTTATAAAAATACACTGTAATGAAAGTTATGTAAATGTGGCCTCTCTCAAAATATATTATTATTTTTATTTTTTTATTTTTAAAATGTTTTTATTATAAAAGTAATACAAATAAAGAAAAACTGAAATACTGAGGAGGACATGTCACCCATTTACTGCCCTGCCATCCCACTATAACCACAGTTAGTGACTTGATCTACTTTGCCATCTTATTATACATGTCACGCATTTACTGCCCTGCCATCCCACTATAACCACAGTTAGTGATTTGATCTACTTTGCCATCTTATTATACTTGGGGTGTTATGATCACACCCATTCATATACTTTGGTATCTTGCATTTTTTTACTTACTATCACATTTTCTCATGTTTTTCATAATATTCATTACTAATTTTTAATAAGTACAAAATGTACTATTCATATGTATCTATTTATTGTCTATTCCCTATAGCAGGGGATGGCAAACTATGGCCCTGCATTTGTAAAGTCTTACTGAAGCACAGCTATGACCATTTGTTTACATATTGTCTATGGCTGCTTTTGTGCTACAAATAGCAGTGCTGAGAAGTTATTACAGAGACAGTATGGTCTGCAAAGGCTAAAATATTTACTTTCTGACCCTTTATAGAAAAAGTTTGCTGACCCCTCTCTTGAACTTTTAAGTAATTTATAATTCAGGCTATTATAAAGTAATGCCAGCTGGAACATCTTTGTGCATGTAATTTTTCATACTTTGCACAATTGGTAGATATTAATATAAATGGAATAACTGGGTTTAATTAATAAAAAACATTATTAAGGTTGATACTGTCCCATACTGTATCTCTCTTGTAATATTTTGACATATCCTAAGACATATAAGAAGAGTGGTGACAAGAGTGGAAAGGAAGCCCCGGTGCTTCTGTAGGTAGCACTGGCCTGGTCCCTACTAATCTAGACATGAATGTTTACACACCGGATAAGCATATTTTTAGTTTTGATCTAAAGTCAACCAAACAGGGAAGTAACAGTAACTTCAATAGGAAAACCAACTGAAAGAAATCTTTTACTTCCTACTAGGGATAAAAAGGCAAATAGAAGTAAACTCTCAGGTGTCAAGGCATATATGAAATGCCATTCCAAGCTCTCTGTAATGGCCAAAAAGCACTGGGAGAGTTGAGTAAGTGAAAGAGGTGGCAGTCACAACACGGAGCTAGCAGGGGCAGCAATGAACAAAGGTGCGGCTATGAGTGTGGGATGACAGAAGCAGCACATGGGTTCCACCTCTCTGAGTACATCCTAGGCCTAAAACTGTACACAACTGTAATTAAACTGTCTCCAGATAAGAGAGTTCTAGACTGACTACTCTATATTCTTGAACAACAACAAAAAAATCTTCTATCTGGGGAAGTTTTATTCTTTCTGAAGAAAACTTGTGGGATGGGAAAGTCAATCCTGACTATCGAAGTCAACCCTGACTAGTCAACCTAAGTCAACCCTGACTATCTCTGAGACAAAAGATGAAGCAGGCTGACAGGTCTCAAATTCAATCTTGAATGAATAAAATAAGCATCAGGAAGCATAGATGTCATCTTCTAAGGGAAATATTCTGAGGGTCTGGCAGCATAAATCCATCCGTAAGTTTATAATAGACTATTGTAGAATCAGATTCCACGATGGCCAAAGTAAAAGACATCGGCAAATCTGGATCACCTTGCAATTTTCGAGATGCCTTCAAGATCTCCCTTACCCTGTTATGGCTGAGGGAAGCAGTGATGGGCACAGGCACCACAGTCTGTAACCCTTCCCCTTCTAGCTCTGTACCAACAAGGCAGATGAGCTGGAGTTCTGGTAATCCCACACAGTTTACTTCATGCCAACTTTTACTCTCCATGAGGTCCAGGTAAACCAAGAATGCTATATAGACTTCGGTGGCATCTCCTATATCTAATTCCATCATTTCTAAGTACTTAGGGTGGGTGCCCAGCCAGGCGTCCTCAGGGGTCCACGAGGGAGCACCGCCGCCGCTGCGAACGCCGCCCGGGCCCAGACTGCTGCAGCCAGCGGTCGGCTCGGCATCGCCGTGCTCCTCCATGCCGGCCCGCAGGGCGCACCCCAAAATATATTATTTTTAAAAAAATCAATTTTAATTGACATACTGTAATTGTACATATATATGGAGTACAATTTTATGTTTTCTTTACATCCTCACCAATACTTGTTTTTCATTGTCTTGATAATAGCCATTCTAACTGGAGGGAAGTGGTATCTCATTGTTGTTTTGATTTGCATTTCCCTCATGATTAGTGACGTTGAGCATTTTTTTCATGTATCTGTTGGTTATTTTTATGTCTTCTTTTGGGAAATGTCTATTAAGATCCTTTGCCCATTTCTCTTTTTTGTTTGTTAGTTTTTTGCTGTTGAGTTGCTTAAGGTCTTTATATATTATTGATATTAATTCCTTGTCAGATGTATAGTTTGCACATATCAAAATATATCACTGTACTATACTGTACTCACCTGTTTTTGGACCTCCATTGACCACAGGTAACTGAACCCATGGAAAGCAACGCTACAGATAAAGGGGGACTATGTATTTAAGCCTGAAGTTTAAACTTTTTCTTTGCGATCTACTCTAGAGATTTATTCATTTCTCTTGGTATCCCATGTGTACAGGAGATACACATGTTATTAAACTTGTTTTTCTCCTGTTAATCTATATTTTGTTACAAAGAATCCCATGAAGAGTGGAGGAGAAAGTTATCTTTCTTCCCCTGCACACACACCCTCATTCTTCCGGTCATCCAGGTTTATGCCAATAAATCACTTTTTATCCTATCTTCTATTGTAACGTAACATTTTTGTCAGTTGCTTGGTCCTATAAATCCTCCCTTCCCCAATGTCTTCTCAAGTCTGTACTTTCCTTTCTCAAAAAAAAAAATTTTTTTTTTGGTTCAAAAATTCAGGCCCTTATATTACTCCATGTTTGGCAAGTCATGATGACGATTGGTAAATGTTTGTTGGAAGAAACCAGGGAAGAAAGAGCCAGCAAGTGTGCAAGCCTTCACTAGATGGTGAGTAACTGGAAGGCTGAGACAATGTCTGAATTATTCCCGGTGTGTAGCAAAGTGACAGAGTAGGCCTCTAACAAGTTGACTGAATGCTAGTTAGAAGAAAAAGACACGAAAAGACACCTACCTGGTCTTCTTCCTTCCAGTCTCTGCTCCAGATAACCCAGCCTTTTCAGCTTTCATAAATATTTCCTACTTTCAGATTACTTCCTTGTTCAAAATGTTCGATTTCCTATATAAATAAATCCTTTGTGTGTCATTCAAGGACTCACGCATTTGGCTTCAAGGCAGAGGAGAGGGCAGCTTGTGCATGCCCGCATGTGCGCGCCCGCGTGTGCACGCCCGCGTGGCGGGTGGTTAGAAAGAGGACGAGACTACCCTGTCTGGAGGGGAGGGGAGGACAGAAGGTACCTCTGTGCATCTCAGTATTCTCCACCTTGGAATTCATTCGAGTCATTGAAGTTTTCTGAACCTCGAGAACCGTGGCTTGATAGACTGAGAAGCAATTCTATTCATTGCCAGGGCAAGTTTGCCTTGGTGCGAACTCCTCTGCTGGGAGTTCTACCCGGTATTTATTTTGGGTGCAAGCTCTGCCTTCAGTCACTGTCTGGGGTTATATGGTGGGTTGGGGACCACCGGCTGGGCCTCTGAGGACCAGGTCTCCTGTGGCATCACCGAGTTGGGAGAGGCCACAGGAGGAGGAGGATGGGCAGGGCGGACCCCTGGAGGTGGCCACGGAGCACTTGCCCAGTGAGCTCCAGGGACAGGGGGAGGAAGAGGAAGCCGCACTGATTTATTAATATTCATGTTGTTATTCTGACAACAGAACTCCCGACGTGACGAGAAGTGCTGTGGAAGACACCCGACCCTGGAACCGGCAGACCGTCCTCCTGGCCGGGAGCCCCGGGTGGTGGGGCTGGCTCCCCTCACGGCGGCTGCGTGGCTGCTCTTTCCCCACCGCGCTTGGAAATGAGCAGAGGCGGGCCTGGGAGCCTGGGCGCCTGGGCGCCTGGGAAGAGGTTCTGTGGGCTCCGAGCCTATTTCTGACTTAGAATTGAGATAGCACCTCACCCCAGTTAGACTGGCTATAATAGAAAAGGCGGTGCATAACAAATGCTGGCGAGGGTGTGGAGGGAAGGGAGCACTCCTGCACTGCTGGTGGGACTGTGAATTAGTACAACCACTATGGAAAACAGTATGGAGGTTCTCAAACGACTACAGACAGATCTTCCATACCATCCAGCAATCCCACTTCTGAGTATATACCCAGAGGAATGGAAATCATCATGTCAAAGGGACACCTGCACTCCCTAGTTCATCACAGCTCAGTTTACAATAGCCAAGACGTGGAGCCAACCTAAATGTCCATCAATGGATGATTGGATAAGGAAACTGTGGTATATATACACCATGGAATGCTACTCTGACATAAAAAAGAATGAAATCCTCCCATTTGCAACAACATGGATGAACCTGGAGAAACTCATGTTGAGTGAAATAAGCAAAGCACAGAAGGATAAATACCGCATGTGCTCACTCATAAGTGGGAGCTAAGAGAGAAAGAAGGAAGGAGAGAAAGACCACGGTGGTGCATTGGACTTGCAGTGGGAGGCAACATTCCCTGGGATACAAAGTGGAGTGAGAGGGGAAGGGAGAAGGGGAGGGAGGTTGGGGATAATTGGGTGGGGGACACAGGGAACAAATGCAATTTGTGGTAATGGGTATGCTGCCAGTATGAATCTGGCCTTCACAGCACAGGCACAAGGAGTGACAATCAGCTTTGTACCTCATGAAAATTCATAACCAACAAAAATAAATAAATAAATAAAAATGGCCAAAGGGAAGGGGGAGACGGGACAGTGTTTTGACATGTCAAGATGGGTTGTACTGATCAACTGTTGAGGTCATAATTAGAGCACGGGCAATATCTTCCTTCCAGTAATCAATCCTTCATGATTTCAGTGTCTTTCAGGAAGCCCAGTCTTTTCTACCTGTAACTGCACCTAGAGCGACAGAGGCAGCAATTTTGATTTTGTCTATTAGTAAGGTTAATTATTTGCAGGTAATTAGAATTGTAAAACCATTTAACTAGTATTGCTGAGACCGGACTCTCCAGAAGATGGCAGTAGCAGACAGCCTCAGACGCTGTAGTGCAAACGTGCACATTTTGAGGGGACCCCTTCCTCTTACTGGAGTCTGTATTATTTTGCACTACCAGAAAAATACTCACTGTACGTGGAGTAGTAATAACAGGATCAGTCTTTTATCCAATATTGTTAAATCATATAATGGAGGAATGGGAAAAAACACTTTTCCTGTGGCCTCTCATTCAAGTGTTGTGTGTTTATGTCCCAATTTCCAGAAAATAAATATTGCATATGCTGTTAGAATGCTTGGCCTCAGTAAGGAATAAGATCTGATTGAAAATTTAGCTACAAGAGCTAAAATTTAGCTGCTTTAGCTACAAGAGCTGGAAAGCTGAAATTTGGGGTTTCTGCTGTCTAAAGTAGACTTTTGGTAAGAGGGAGAGGTTCTCACTATTTTGGGTGTCTCAGAAAGGACACCAGTCTGTTTCTCAGACAAAGGAAGATTGAACTTGGTTGTTTTAGTGACAGTTTAAGAGTTAGTTTTATTCCAAGAAAGATGTCAATCAGTAGGATTCTTATTAATATAGACTGAAGTATAAATCTAATTATTACACAAAAAGAAGTGCAAAGTTTCTTAAATAAATGTTTATATAAGCATGTATATGCATAAATGTATGTATTTAGCATATTTTTCTGCCTTCAGGATATTTAAGATACATCTGTTTGTATCTGCTCTAAACCTCTGATATGTAAATATGGATCACAGATCCTGCATAGTAGGAAAGTTCTTTAAGCTCAACTTCATTTTATATTAATACTCTAGGTGGCTGCTGAATTAGAGGTCTGTACTTTTTAAAATTTTTTTTAAATTTTAAAAAATTTTTAAATTTTTATTTTTATTGAATCAAAATTGATTATACATATTTTTGGGGTTCAACATTGAGATATGTTGATCAAATCAATATTAGTAGTATAAAAAAATCGTAATTATTCTTTATGCCCCTTGTCCAATCTCTCCCCAACCGCCTCTCCCTCTCCTCTCCCTCCTCTGATAACCCTAGATTTCTTCTCTCCTTCTGAAAATATAATGGTTAATCTGTTGATTTGTTGCCTAGATGATCTGTCCAATGCTGAGAGGTGTGATCAGGTCCCCCAATATGATCGTAGAGCAAATGCTTCTTCTGTCACTCTGGAATGGGCTTTGTGGAGAGAGGCATCCTCTTCTTTTCTTTATCTCTGCTGGTGATTCTCCTTGTGTCAATGCATTCCAGTGGCTGGCAGACCATCTGCGTGGGGGTTGTGGTGTTTAGCTGCTTTTGTGGCAGCCATGGTTATTGTGGTGGCTGTGGTGGGCCACCCACATGGAGGTGATTTTTTTGGAATACTCCTTGTACTGGTGGTGTGCCTGGTTGTGGGGAGTGTCTGGTCCCGGGCTCCAAGCCTTGGGTCCCCAAGTGGGCCCTGAGGTACTGGCTTGGTGTGCCTGGTTGTGGGGGCCTGGCTCCATACACCGGGCCCCTGGGCAGGGCCCTGAGGTGCTGGCATAGTGTGCCTTGTTGTGGGAGGGAGGTCCAGTCCCCTTCTCCATGCCCTGGGTCCCTGGGTGGGCCCCAAGGCACTGGCAGTGTGCCTGGTTGTGGGTGGGAGGCCCAGTCCCCTTACCCATGCCTCAGGTCCCCAGGTGGGCCCTGAGGTGCTGGCATGGTGTGCCTGGTTGTGGGAGTAGAATCCAGCCCCCCTCTCCATGCCTTGGGTCCCCAGGTGGGCCTCAAGGCACTGGTATGGTGTGCCTGGTTGTGGGCAGTGGGTCCAGTCCTCAGCTCCATGCCCCAGGTCTCTGGGTGGGTCCCGAGGCACTGGTGTAGTGTGCCTGGTTGTAGGAGGGTTGTCTGGTCCCTGGCTCCATGCTTCTGGTCCCTGGGCAGGCCCCAAGGCACTGGCGTGGTATG